TATAACACGCTCTGCATACCTACTTACAATGTACGCATAAGCGAAGCATGCGAAGAGTGCATCCGTGCATAATAAGGCATATGTACGCAAGTCTTTAAATTTAAGATTCTACGTGAGAATCGGTGTGCATAAATTTTTAATCGTCGCTCTGTTGATTTTCCAGCGATCTGGAGAAGTATTTCGAGTATCAGGGTCAAGATTACATTTGTTCGCGTCCCGACGACAGCGGGATGCACTCCTGCAGTAATCTGCCGCCTCTTAAATTTGGTGAGTACGTCCTCCATCAATAAATTTCAAATGAATTTGCAAAATACAATTTAATAAAATATTATACATGCGTAATTCCACTAAATTTAAATCTCTAACAATCACGCGCGTAGAATTAAATTAGAACTGCTTTATACAGAGGATGCTGAACAGAAATCTAAAATTCAAAAACATTTAATAAATATCTTTAAATCTTGATGAGAAATATTGTAACAAATATTAAAGTCAAATTTTCTTTATTTCGGACTATTCAATATAAATCTATCACGTTATACCCATTGGCGTTGTACACATTCGGGTAATTGATTGCTTCATCATCATAATCAAAAGCAACGGCATTTTTCACATTTAGGCAACTTGGTGTGCAACAGTACCGCTGTGCCAAACAGTAACGTCACGTTCATCAACAATGATACCTGCGTTAATTGGAACTACTACTACACCGAATGCAAAGGCCAGGGCAACAATCCATTCCAAGGAACAATTTCATTCGATAACATCGGTCTCGCCTGGGTTGCGATATTTCTTGTGAGCGCTTTAGTTACTCGTCCTACATTTGTTCAGAATAATTTACGTATGCATGTGTACATGTTACTTGAACCATGTATATGTGGCACGGAATATTTCTCTCATTTATAAGTATGTAAAATACTTTTACGGCGCCCGAAAGTCGATGGAAACGCGGATCGCGCACATTAGTCTGCGATAGTGCCAAGAGAAAAACTACGTTATTGACGATATTGCGGACAAATTGGTTTTCGATAAGATGCTATTGCAAATGAATAATGTGTTAGCTGGAAGATTTTTGCATTTTTATATGACAAAAATATATGAGTACGTAACTTCATTTGCTACGTATTTTAACGTTTGTAGCATAATTCTTCTGACATAAGCTTTCCCTCATTTTTAACGAAAATTTAGTCGTAACGTTTTGATATTTTTACGTCATAATTTACATTAATTGATCGCTAGACTAAGTTAGTCATTCGTCGCTATTTCGCCGTAAAGCTAAGTAGCGCAATCATGTCGATTTGTAGGTTATTAGCCTGGAAGGATGGACGGACATAATGTATTACGTGCAAGACGCCCACTCCTTCTGGGACTGGATATATTTCGTTCTCCTGATAGTCGTAAGTGTTTCATTTCCTATCCCAATTGCACGGAAAGCGCAATATGTAAAACATAAATAGACGTTATCTAATTTTCACATTCATATTTTCCACGGTCTTACTTCGCTCATTTTTAATAAAAATTCAGCTGTAACGTTTTAATACCTCAGCCTCTTCAAGACAAATCATTTCTATCCCATACCAGCACCCATTGATTGATATACGTTTCCTAAACGTATCTAATGTTCTATAAACGTTTAAGAAACGTATATAAATCTAACATGTGCTGGAAATAATTTAAATAATAATAATAGTTCATTATTATCATTAAAGTCACGACTTTAACGATCAACTGGTAGAATAAAATTGTAATATAATCCATGAGAAAATAGCGATAATAATTACAATATAAATATAAAACAAACGCGGGATGTATTATGAGAGAATTGAAGAGAGAAGCATGGATTAAAGAGGACCTGCGTTTGCAGATCGGTTCGTTCTTCATGATCAACCTCTGCTTGGTCGTAATCGCGACGCAATTTTCGGAAACGAAGAAGCGAGAAATGGAGAGAATGCGACTGGAGCGAGCGCGTTACCATTCGACCTCGACGCTCGCCTCGTCCACGAATACCTCGGAGCCTACTACTTGTTACGCCGAAATCGTCAAGTGGGTACTCGCCATTGTTGCACGGCCCCCGAGGACGCTATTAGCGCGAGCAGGATCATTCCTTGTCGTTCACTCCGCGGAAGATTCGCCAGCGCCCATGTTTTATGTTAGATGACAATTTGATATCACTTTCCAGATACATCGCCCATCTCTGGCGACGAGGTAAACGAAGACTGATGAAGAGATATCGCCTGTGGCTGTACAGGAGGCAGCAGAAGCGGGAGCAGAATTTACTCAAAGAGCAGCAGAGTCAAGTGTCTCGTTCGAACGCCACTGCTGTCGGGCCAAATCGCATACCGGGCGGTAAATAACGTGAAGTTAAAAAAATCGAATAATTAATATTGAAAACGAAAGAAATTAACTCTGGAATCGTCGATCATACCAGTTTAGCTCCGCTAATCGTTTCAATTTTTTTGTATAAGATATAGTACAAAATATTGAAAAAGTATGAATATAAATATAAATAGATACAAATAATATCAAAATAATTCTTTACTAATTAAAAACAAAAATAGGAAATTACTAAATTGATACCTTCGGCAGTTTTACCGGGATATCACCAGTGGTTATTATTAAATACGATGGAAATGGAAGTCTTAAAATTTCTACGACGCTAATATTAACCTCGATTCAAACCCTCAAAATTGCCGCTTTTTTATATTGCACTATACTAGCATTAAACTATATTAAACTTATTTTAATAAATCTTTTTTAATTCTTAATATAAATATTTTTATTCTTTAATATACTTACCTACAATTTAAATTGTAATTAAAAAATGCAAATTTTATTAAATATTATTTTTAACGATTATTAAATTTTAAAATTGCTTTATATAATAATCAATATTAAACGTAATAATTAATATTAAAATCTAAAATTCTTCTCTATAGCAAGATTTTTTATATTATTTTAATAAATCTATAACTTTTAACTGTTTTAATCTATAATCTTTCTAATATAATCTTTCTATAAATATTTTTCAATTATATGAAATAGAAGTAATGGCCGTAACGCGACCAAAGCTAGGTCTTTAACGCTTAAATAATTCAATCTGAATTACTACATATATTACATATGTACTTGCACATACACCATATTTGTAGTCATTCGAACTGCTGAATTAATTTTCCAGTTTTATAAACGCAAACTGAAATAATATCATGAATTAAATTGACAAACAATTTGATGCTCAATCAGGCATTCTATTAAAAAGATGTTAATATGCTGAAAAACTGTAAATAAATTCATTGCGAATAAACATTTTTCTTCTTTAATACTTATCTGGAATTTACAGGAATGTACATTGTAATTCATAAATTTTATTAAAAATTCCTATTAAACACTATTTTTAAAAGTATTTTTAAAAAGTTTGACGTTACTGTTATTATAAAAAATGCATTCCAATATTTAGATAGAAGACTACATCACGGGAGGTGTCCGCGGCTTCTCGCCGCGCTAGAATATGCAGAGCAACAGCAACAGCAGCAGCAACAGGCTACCAATGGGAACGGTGGATCTGTCGCTGATTTCGCCACAATCACATCTCCGACACAATCGGCGATGGCAATTGCCGCCCCCACAGTCCCGACTATCGGCAATAGCGTCGGTGGTAGTGGAAATCTGGGCACCGCGCCTCGAGCTAGCCCTGAGCTTTCCGAGGCCGAGGCTTCCGCGAATGTATGTCACAGATTAAGCATTCACCGCACCTCGTCCGTGTCCTGTAATGGAAGCGACAACGCTGTCGTGGGAAACGTGGCTGAGGCAAGTACAGATATTGTAGATTTGCATGCGAGAACGCGACACGAAATTTTTCGTTAAATATAGGAGCGGCGCAATTGAAGTTCGGCAAATGAAATATCGGAAAATGATTTTCCAATAATATATAATGTTTAAATAATTAATTAATTAATTAAAATAAAATAAGATGAATAACGAAACGAATATAGAAGTCATAATTTTATTATTGAATTGGAAATTCATAACGTTATTTTGTTTCTCCGGTAGTTTCATTTATGCCGCTTGAACTTTTTGCTCTCTAGAAACATTACACTTTGATCTTAGTAAGCAAGCAATTGTAAGCAAGAACGTCTTTGAATGATTCGTTTAGCGCTCTTTCCGTTAAGCTATTCTCTTCGCTGACATTTATCTTCTGCTTTACATCGATAGTAGTGTACTCATAGTGATTATACATGCTTTCCATGTAGAAGTTACAACATTAGCGTTTCATCATGTTTCGTTGGATTTCTCGACGATAATAGAGAGAACGTTTGCACAACAAAGAGATTTTGAGCTTTAGGTACGGCAAGATAAATTGCATAAAGTTTCTTCCCTTAATGCTACAAGTTTGGGCCGAGAACGGTTATGAGAGAGCGCGCCTGCCGTAGTGTGTAACGTATGCTTGATTATCGCCTTCTAGACGAACAGCACGTTGTTGAGTCCACCATGTACGCATTATCGGAGAAGAAGCAGCGTAATGTTTAGCGACGTGGTATTGCTCCATGGCAGCAATAATGTCGGGAATGCGTTGCAGCCGGGATTGACGGTGACACCGGGCGAGCGTAACGTCTGCTCGAGCGAGAAGATGACACAGACGGGGGATGGTAACGTTTGGTCCAGTCCACTGCCGGACCACGCGCAGGTAATTTTCAATTGCCATGGCTCCGTAAATTGTGAAGGTCCTTTCCTCTCTTAAATATGGCATACTGTCGCTAGATGCAAGCCGAACTGGGTGGCAACGAGGCTATGACGTGTCAGGAATTGTTGGCTCTCAGTGGTGCTCTCAGTGCTGCTCTGCCAACCGGCCAACTAGCGCTCGATTCGTTTTTAAATTCTCTCACGAAAGGCAAGTCAATGTGACGTACGACAGACACGATTTGTCGTAAAATTGAAGTACATGAGTTATTATATTTATTATTATACGGATTCTTATCTAAAAATGTTTTAAACAACTTATAACTCGTCATTATGTCCGAACTTTCAAAAATATTAAAATAAAAGCTACCAAATAAATAAAATTTGTTAATGAAATCATTACATTTTTAAGGGACATTCTAAATTTTGATAAAAAATTAATTTCAATGCTTTTGAACATTTAAATTTCTCCATTCCATTTAAATTTGAAAAATATTTACAAACAACTAATAGAATTCGCACTTAATCGAGTCGAAAAAAAATATAAAGATGAGTTAATGTGTTCCATAGGTATAACAGATCGTCACATCACATTGGAAGATCGCACGCAGTGGTTAACGTCCGACGTTGACAATTGTTCCTGTTGCTGCGAGCTGCAGGCAGGTGAACAGTGGCCGGAAGACGGCGAGAAGTGGCAAAAGTCCTCGCGGCCTAGACAGCTTCTAAGACGCGCCGGTACCTGCTGTATCTGTACATTACGCTGTATAAGACGGTGGATCAAGAAGCTGGTCGAACACAAATACTTTCAACAGGGTATTCTATTGGCGATCCTCATCAATACTTTGAGCATGGGAATCGAATATCACAATCAGGTGATTTCTCACTGGAACTTGAAATTACTTCGATGTTATTTCGGATATTTTTAGCACTGCTTTGTGTTTTTTTATTACCGTATTTCATTACAAGATTGACAATATTTTCAACTTTGCATGTAAAAAACAAAAGTTGCCGTACAATATTATTACACGGAAAGAATTTTGCTGAAATATCTAAAAATTTAGCTAAATAGAAATTAATTTTT